GTATTCCCCTCAAGGACACACTCCCACAATAGTCTAGCTTCCTTCCTCTAGGCTCCACCTCCTAAAGGTCCCAACACCTCACATAGTGCCACAGGCTGGAGAACAGGCTTTCAACAACACATGGTCTTTCAAGAGCATTTAAGATACCAAGTGAAGCTATGTAGCAGGTGGGATAAAGCTAAGGGATGGCTTTTGATGCATTCCAGTGCATCATAACAGTTCTCGATCTCAATGCAATATACTGAGGAAGAAGCAAGGGGCTCAGGGAGAAAACCCAGCCTCCAGGGCTGACCATAACCTCAGGGACTTGGCAACCTTTTTGAATGTTGTCCAGTTTAGCTCAGAGCTGGGCATCCACAGTTCACCCTCAGAGCGAATAGCAAGTCCTCAGAGCTGGAGGAACACAGCCCCGCCTGGTACCTCCCATCATGGAAGGGACTCTGGGATCTGAGTGGTACAGAGGGAGAGAGGGAAGTTCTATGGTGATGTGCGGCAGATTTGGCTTCTGAATCCTGGATGCAATCTCTAGCCCTTCAGCTTACAGGTGAGGTTGAGAACAGACACATTGCTTAATCTCCTCTTGCCTCGACCCTCAGATCAAAAAATGGGGGCAACATGTTAGAACAACATCTGTAGATTTATTATAGCACCTGCATTGTTATTTTTCTTATTGCTGTGATAAAAGCAATTTAAGGGAGGAAGGGTCTATTTTGGCTGGTGGTTTAAGGGCACAGCTGAGTCCATCACAGCAGAGAGGTCCTGATGGCAGGAGCTTGAGGCAGCTGCTCACATGGCATGCAGTCAGGAAGCAGAGAGTTGGATGCTGGTGTTCAGCTTGCTTTCTCCTTTTAATTCAGTCCAGGACTCCAACCCATGGGAGAGTGTTACCTACATTCAGGTTGGGTCTTCCTCAGTTAAATCCTTCTGGAAACATCCTCACAGACACAACCAAAAGTGTGTTTCCATGGTGAGTCTCAATCTCATCAAGATTAACTGGTACAGCACCCTAGCTGGTATAGCAGCACTAGCTGCTGTTAGTAGCGATTAGTTATTAAGAAGGGGATCTGCTCTTGACCCCATGGCTGCCCATGAGCCTGTTTCAAGATCTGAGAACCTCACTTTTTCTGAGGAAGCAGTGGTTTCTACCACCTACCTGGGCAGAACAACTTTTGAATACAAACAGCAGCTCTCTGTGTCCACAGAGAGAACCAGTCTGTATTGATTCAAATTGTAGTGAAAGCTACAATCAGACCTGAAGAGAGGAAGCGGATTACCTTCCTTCTACACTGGGTCTTATCAGAATGCTTCTGCACATGATCTTCAGGCCTGACTTAATGAACGCACAAAACACATTCGCAGTTAGCAACACCCATTTGTGTGCCAACAATTCACATGTGAAAGCCAACACCCAATGACAACAGTGTTTAATTTACACAGCAAACTATCCTTAAAAACAATTTCTGTAGCACATAGCTCCCATGGGCGGCCTGCTTAGGTGAACTGTGGATTTGCTTTGCAAGGTTTTTTCTTTGAAGAGAACACTGGCATTGTGTGGGGCCTGGGCCTGATGCTGGAGAGTCTGGGTGGGTCCTTCAACGTACCTCAGGACTAACCTTTATGTGTATGAGACAGACAGAGAGAGAGAGAGAGAGAGAGAGAGAGAGAGAGAGAGAGAGAGAGTGTAGAGAGAGAGAGAGAGAGAGAGAAAGTGTGTGTGTGTGTGTGTGTGTGTGTATGTGAAGGCCAGAGGTCAACATCAGCTGTTTATTCAGTTGCTCTCCAACTTAGTTTTTGAGACAGGGTCTCTCCCTGAATGTGAAGATCACTGATTTGTCTAGGCTGGCCAGCCAGAGAGTACTAGGAGTTTTCCTGTCTCTGCCCTGTCCCCCCAAAGTGCTGAGGTTACATATGCACATGGCCATACTTGGCTTTTATGTGGGTGCTGGGGATCCAAACTCGGGCCCTTGTACTTGAGCTTTACTGACTGAACCATCTTCTTAACCCCAGGACTAACCTTTGAGGCCCCTATAGGACAGTGAATGTGGGCCACCTGATGTGGGGGCCTCTTCCCAAACAATGTTGGCACAGCTAAGTCCCAACTCTATAGTCAGAGCCTACATCTCCAGGTCTTAGGGCATTTCTTAGAAATGAGAAGGCCTACATGTATTCTGTTTATTCCAGCAGCGTTTCACAAGGGTGTGGCTTGGAGCTTCTGCATACTGTGGGAGTGGCCTGTCTTAAAGTGCAAATATTCCTCATCCCACTCTTGAGTTGTGGCTATCCTAGAATCTCACTTCGGTACATCACAGCCTTAGAATGATACAGTCATCAGACCTGCTGCTAGATCCTGTGCTGATAAAGGCAGAGAGTGAGGGCCATGATCTAACCCTGAAATATTTGCTTTCCTTTTTAATCTTGTATACACTGTGCATTTAAAAATACTATTCTGAGACAGGGTCTGTAGGTTTCACCAGATTATCAAAGGGGTCATGGCACCCCAAAGTTCTAGAACAATCACACAACCAGAAGCCAGAAGACACTGTGACTGGAGGTCTCTCATGGCTTCAGGCAACTCTGAAGACTACAGGAATGAAATCTCCAAACCCAGAGATGGGAAAAGCAATGGCTGGTGGCTGTTACCAGTTTGTCTCCCCCAAAAGACCCATCTGTTAGGGGATTGGCCTCCAGCTAGTTGTGCTAGTTTGGCAGATTCTAGAAGCTTCAGGAGTTGAGACTCAGCTGAAGGAAGTAGGTCACTGGAGGTAAGTGCACCCATGTCGTGCGGTGCCCACGGAGGACAGAAGAGGCTGTTAGATCCCCTGGAACTGGAGTTATGGACAGTTGTTAGCTGCCATGTGGGTGCTGGGATTCAAACCCATGTCTTCTGCAAGAACAGTCAGTGTTCTTATTTGCTGAGCCATCTCTCCAGCCCCTCCAGGTTTTATTGGGACAGGGTCTCCCTATAGTCCCAGCATGCAATCAGTTGCCAAAACTTCCTTAAGTTGGGTTGGGAAAGGGGAATGCTCATTCACTGCTGGTAGGATTGAAAACTCATTGGAACTCACTATGTAGACCAGGCTGGCCTCAAACTCACAGAGATCCACCTGCCTCTGCCTCCCGAGTGCTGGGATTAAAGGCGTGTGCCACCACACCCGGCTTCCAGGCATTTCTCAACCCAATCACATCAACAAGGAAAACTGACCATCTCATCCTCCCTTTCTTGACTTTTTTTACTTTCTGAGGTCCTCCCTCATTTCCTCTTTCCCTCTCTTCCTCTTTCCTGTCCCTTCATCTTCCTCCCTCTTTTTCTATGTGCTTCCTATTTCCTGAGACTCGATTACATGTCACACATCTGGTGCTGGAGTTCTATCAGTGAACAAATCCAATATCGGTACTGTCAGAGAAGACAGACAGTTCAGCAGGGAGAGAGACAGCTGAAAAATAAAGAAGGGAAATGTGGAGCGTGACTTGGAGAGGGAAGGGGACGATTATTATGGGTGCTGGGTTTTTAGTTGGGGTAATAAAAATAAATGCTCTAAAATTGACTGTGGTTATGGTTGTACAATTTGGTAAATATACTAGAAACTATTAGCTGTATACATAGGTAAACTGTGAATTATACCTCAATAAGGCAGCTATGAATATGCAAATATATAGAGTGTACTGCAGGACAGTAACTGTTAGCACAAAATAAAGCCAGGATGGGGGATGAAAGTTGCTTTGGACGGATGGACTGAATGTTTGTCTCCTCCCCAAACTCACATATGGAAGCCTTGCCCCTGCCCCCAGGGTGATGGTATTCAAGAGTGGGGCCTTTGGCAGATGTTTAAGGTTGGGCAAGTCCAAGAGGGTGGGTTCCTCATAATGGGATTAATGGTATTATAGGAAGAGGGACCCCTCCCCCAAGCCCTGCAATGAGAAGTTAGATTTACAGAATCTTCCTGCACTGGACCTTGGACTTTCCAGCCTCCAAAACTATAAGAAACAAATGTTTGTCTTTTTAAAAACGTGTGTGTGTGTGTGTGTGTGTGTGTGTGTGTGTGTGTG